GCGGCGCTCCTGGCCCGAGCCACGCCTCCTCCTTCTCAGCCCCTAGCTAGTGGCTGCAGGCTGTAGCTTTATTGCAGATGGAGAAGCTGTTGAGTCCCGAGACACGCACAGGTATTAGCCTTGAACCCCGGGCAAGGGGAGCAAAGGTAGAGGGACGCTGAGACTTTTTTCCAGGGATCCTCACGTGTACATTGGCCTCCCTTAACCCTGAAGGAATCTTGATGGACACCTGTGTTCAAAAATTACCCAGTAAACAGTAAGGGGACTCTGCCACGCAGTATACAAGGTTAAGCCAATCGGTTCGCTTCTCTCCTCACATCCCTGAGACAAAATTATAGACAAGTATCCGAAGACAACTCAGTGGGACTAGATTTTTTTCTTTTTTTTCCATTCATTTATTTAGCTCATAAATAAAGTCATGCACAATTATGATACATAATACAGTATGTATCAATAGAAACAATAGTAACAATAGTAACAATAGAAAAATTCAGTCATGTGTGAACATTTGTCTCAATATATCCTTCTTTTTTTTTTGCTTCAGCCTTCATAATTGTGTACTGTTATGAAAACCTCTTTGAGCAGACACTGGGCTAAAACCTTTTTGAAGTTGTATTCAGTTATCTCGAGTTCCCAGACAGCACGAACAAGTTTTATCAGCCCAGCAACGCAGTATATGCCCATAATCCCAACACTTGTTGAGTAGACTCAACAGGATCTTGGAATTCAAGGCCAGCCCCAGCTACAAAAGACCTTATTTCAAAAACAAGTCATAAAAATCTAGTTATTCAAAAAGGAAAAAAAAATCTAGTTATTTGTGCATGCAAATTTGATTTCATCTTTAGTAAGTAGTAAAGTTATATGCTTGCCAAAAAAAAATAATAAGTGACACACTGGAAGACAAATGTCACATAATTTTATGTGTAACCTAGACATGATGAACTTATGGGAGCAGAGAGCAGAATTGTGGCTATTAGGCTTTAATGTGGGTCTTTTAACAATGGGGAAATGATTGGTTTAAGGATATAAAACTGCAAGAGGACAAGAGGCATGGACTCTGTGATGTCTTGAGGTCTACTGAGCATGATAAATATGGCTGATAATAATATGCTATACTTTAAAAGTTGTGAGATAGTATACTTTAAGTGTTCTCAAAACAAAAATGATGAATATGTGTGGTATAACATGTTAATTGGTTTAATTTAGCCATACCATTGTGAACATACTGTATTATGTATCATAATTGTGCATGACTTTATTTATGAGCTAAATAAATGAATGGAAAAAAAGAAAAAAATCTAGTTATTCATACGAAACTATGTTAAAAACATTCCTAGCATTGCCCAGTAGTTTTATAATTCATTTTGTATTATTGATGTTATCTTTCCTGTAGATGTGCAAGTTACCTGCATAAATAAAAATTAGTTTTACTTTAAGCCACATTTCTAAAACTTGTATAAAAAATGTTTGGGTTACCCTCACATTGTCAGCTACACTCAGCTTTGTATTGTCCTGACATCTAAATTAGTAGTCAAAAGTTTTGGCCCCATCACTTGGCTGAACATGTTAGACCTTACACTTTTGTTTTGAAGCTCATACCTCCTCCCAGATTGGGGGGGGGCACTCAAAGGAGGAAGATGAGCAAAAATGACTTCAATGTGGTACATACTTTGTATGAAACCGTATGTTTTCAAAACTTGTATGTGCATTTGTGTCAGCTCTCCCTTGCAAATCAAAAACATACCTTTGAAAATACTGAAAGAGAGTTGGGTATGGTGGCCTATAATATGTTAATAGTATAGAAAGCTGTTCATCTTGATAAAAATATAACTGCTAAGTTTTTTCTGGTACAGCTACTGACATGAACACTAGCTGTCTTTGTTCAATACATTTTATATGTAAGAATGAATCTGGAGAATACAAGCTAAATCCGATTAATAGAAATCTATGACAGGCTTGGTGGCTCATACCTGTAATCCCACCATTTGGGAGGCTGGTGCAGGAGGATTGTCTTCTGTAGCCAGCCTGAGCTACAGAGTTATGTCCTGTTTCACACAGAACATTTTATTTATGTACATTTATTAATTGTAATATTTATCTACAGCTATAAAACTTCGTCTTATCACAAACCAGCAAGGGAAAATGGGTTCATGGTTGCACAACTGTTGTATACTTTCTCCTAACATTCTTGCTACTGTGCTTTTCTAAAAGACAAGTCTCGATGTTTCATGTTTCCTCTACCTTAGTCATTGTTCTCCTAGAAATGAAAAGAAACAAACCAAATTCCCATGACAGGTTACTGTAGTGCTCTAGAATTCTTTATTTAGGTCTATATCTGATTGTCAAGTGTGTAAATCACTCCCTGGGAATAAGCAAAGCCGGGGAGGGGGGGGGACCATACACTATACTAACTTTGAAAAGGCTTTGAAACTATTGAGGATTGTTTGGTAATCTGGGAAATACTTTAACACTTTAGGCCTTTTAATAGAAACTTGAGTAGTTTAATTGTGATTTTTAAGAAGCATGACATTTCCGCACACAGTATATCCATCCCCACAGTGCAGTGCAATGTGGGGATGAAAGGAATGAGTAACTTTAACTTTGCATGTGAGAAAACAGGAGTTCTGGACAGTTAGGATCAGTCCCAAGGGTCAGGGAGTGATTGATGAGTTAAGGGAGAAGGCTCTAAAACCTCTGCCAGCCCCACTGGATTTTCCCAGAAACAGAACCTAAAAAGAAACGAGGAATATAAAGGCTTGGGATGGCCAGTAGCATAAGTTTTAACATTTGTGAAAGACGAAGAGGCCGAAGCAGGACTTAGTGCCTTACTGAGCAAAGTTTGTCAAACTCCAAGACAAAGATTGTGTCTTTCAGGGGTTCCAACTCTGCTGGAAATGTTATGCCTTGTTTGTTCATTGGCAGCAGAGGACCACCCTGAGGAAAGCGTGAGATGAAAACTTGGAATTGACTCAGAAGACCCTAAATGCTGAGTACTGTCAGTTTGTCACTCCTCACAGCTTGAGTCATCCTTTGCTGTTGTTGTCTAGTTACTATTTATCTGAGACTGGTCTTGAACTCACTCACCTCCTTAACAATAAATCTTTCTGCCAAAGCTGCCCGAGCCCCGTTGCCATGTGGGCGCTTTCTGACAGCCAACCGAGTTCCACCCACTGAGTTAGGGCTCCAAATAATACACAGAGACTTATATTAGGTACAAATGTTGATTGGCCAAAGACTAGGATTTCTTATATGCTAGCTAGGTCATAATTATCATAAATCTATATATTTTATAAGACTTATCGAGGATGCCTTCCGCTGGTGCCCTCTCTTGCCGGTGGATCACATGGCAAATCCAGAGCAGAGACCAGGAGGAAGAGAGAAGGGAACGACTTCCTTCTTGCCCTTGCTTATATATGAGTCTGCCTGCTATATCACTTCCTGCCTGGATCACCACTTCTTTACTGCATTTCCCAGAATCCTCCTTAACTCCTAGCCCTGCCTAACTTGCTGCCTCATTGGTCTAACAGTGCTTTATTTATCCAATAAGACAAACACATACACAGAAGCACTTCCCCCATCACACCTCCATTTCTTCCTTCCTCTCTTTCTTTCTTCCTTCCTTCCTTCCTTCCTTTCTTTCTGTCTGTCTTTCTTCCTTTCTTTCTTTCTGTCTTTCTTTCTTTCTTTCTTCCTTTCTTTCTCTCTTTAACTATTTAGTTATTATTGAGATGGGGTAGCCCTGTGTATTTTCACTGTGTAGCGTTGGCCAGGCTGGAACCCACCATATAGACGAAGCTAGCCACTAACTCACAGAAATCCACATGCCTCCCAAGCGCTGAGATTAAAAGGACCTAATTCAGACATCTTCATTTCTATCACATTACAGTTTTGCCTGTGAGTCACATTTAGGGAACTGCTCTTCCAGGGCTTCAGTAAGCCTCTTTTTTGA